TATCAAATTAGAAGAAGCAATCACAAACCATTACCATTAAATGGTAATATGTAAACATATATTTTAAGACAAAGTATGGTTTGATATACTTGTGTTACATGAGCGAGTTATCTTGAAGCCCAAAATATATTTCAAGTTACCAAGATCTTTCAGCTTGAAAAGAGAAGAAACATAACCTTTTACCAATTAATATGACCAATTGGATGGTCTTATGATGACAGTGTCATCAATATACACTAGAAGGACCCAAAGGAATCCCCAAAACCCTTAATGAACAAAGAGTAGTCAGCTTTGGATTGAGCAAATCCAGAATGCACAAGGGCTTGAGAACTTAGAATTCTACAAATGAGAGGTCTATCAAGAAACATGCTTTCCTTTTCCATGATAATCAGGAGGACTTCGTCAAATAAATCTCCATTAAAAAATGTCAATTGAGTAAGATGCCAATTTTTAGATGTTGCTAATGATAAAAAAATTTAACAGTAACTATCTTAGCAATTGGAAAAAAGGTTCTCATGAAATTAATACCTTCTTGTTGGGTATATCCCTTAATTACTAAATCAGCTTTCTGGTGATCAAAGGTTCCATCATATATATAGATCATTCTTTTACTTTCTATGTTTAAATGTTATGCAATGAAGTTCTGATTTAGGGTTTAGGAAACTTACCTTCTTGTTGGAATTCCTCCCCTCTTCTTCCTTTCTGATCTTTTTTCTTTTCCTCTTAAGGTTTCAAAGTCTTTTAGTTTTAAAGTCAATTAGACAGCTACCATTTCTCCAAAACTGATGAGAGAAACACCATTTATCAGCCACACAAAACATAGACAACCGATTATCAGAAACATAATTCATTTCTGCAAGTAGAAGCACATAATATCTAATTAGCAAGCCCACTGACCATTTGGGGAAAATATAACTTCTTAAAACCTCACAATTATCACGCAGATTACCCGTGGCCTAAACCCACATTGATCATTCATTATCAGATTGTCTGTTAGGCAAACTGGTACAGCAAACATGAGTAAAATAAAGAATACAATTGAGTCCACCTCTCACCTTGAAAGCTTAAATGAAAAATCATGTGAAAACATCACCAGTCAAGATTATTTGTATTTGCACAATATGCTTTCAATTTATACCAATAAAACACTAAAGTTTAGGATCATGCACTGCACCGATGTTGCTCCATAAAATGGAACAGTCGAAAAACCAAGAGATGAAGAAAATGAAGAAAGAATCCACATAATACTCGTGGTTTAAGAGACGCTTGAGGTTAGTAGTTTGCACGTGTTGCTGCTGGACTATAATTTTTATTATTTAGCTGTTCTGTCAAAATAGTTTTCTTTTCCATAGTTCTCACCAATTTAGATATCCTCATCCTTCCATAACATGTATTTGATTGTTGTTATGAATTTTTATTTGGTTTTGGCCGGAGCTGGATAAAAAAAATGGTTAAACTCATAAACGTTCCATTTATTTAGTAGATAATTTATTACATCATGCACTACTCAGGAACATTAACAGCAGCACCAACAACATTATCACTTCTTGTTTGCTTTCTCATTCTCGCGCTGCTGAGCAAAATAAGCCCCTGGATTCTTCTCGAAATCCTCCCTGACAATTCGAACTTCACCTCCAGCCCCCGGAGCGACCATTGTTGCAGGCGAGCTGCCAGTTCCAGGATTTGAGTTGTGGGCACCTCCACCGCCCTTTTGGCCACCTCCTCCTTTGCTGTCCATCTTCAAGATATGCTGTTTTGCTTTCAGATATTTGAAAGGGCTAGAAAGAAGAATTGAAAATAGTCTAGTGGTGATGATTTACAGTGCTGTAGTTGGTTATTTATAGGTGGGATTCAAAGTAGGGTATGATATAATATCTTCTCGTAAAGGAGGTGAAGTCATGCATGGATTAAAACGGAGGTTATTGACTAATTAATTGTATATGGTGGTTTTCAAGACTAGTTACTCGAGGAACAATGAGATTATATGGATAAATTTATCTTCTCGTGAATATATTATCTTGTTTAATTTCACAATTAATGTAGCACCAGAAGGGAAGGCCACGCGAGCAGAGAAGCAAGCAGAAGAGACGAGCGACATGATTGATCCTGTCCGCGCAAATTCATTTCACTTTCCTATCTCTAATCGCCTTTTCCCACTCATTATACTACTGCTCGTCTTGATGGGGCAGTGAAAAGCTTAAACTTATTTGGTGAATCTCCGTAGTCATCAAATAAAAGGCAGAACAATGAATTTCAATCAGAGTTTTTGCTGGTTCCTTTTGACATCTATGTTTTTGGTATGTTTAACCACTTGTTATTCTCCAGAAAAACTCTACATATTAAGCTTTCTTTATTCTAAAGTCCGTCAAATTTACTCTGTTCTGTTCTTGTGCTTATTCTTATTATGCAGTGGGTGTTTTGCATTGAAAAACAAGTTCTTTCTCTGTCTTAATTCTAGTAGCTCTTGGGTTTGGGTTTGGGTTTGGATAATGATAGAAGAGCGTGGTTGGAATATGGGCTCACTCCAGAACGGAAGTTGCAATTTTATTGTTCTTACTATTCCTTTCCGAAAACTGCATTTTCTTTTTTTTTTTTTTCTTCTGGTTAATTTGGAACGCAGATTTGCTTGCTTGCAGCTTAGACATGGTTTGGTTTGTTTCACAATGGGCTCTTTATAGAGGTACGGGAGTATGACAGGTGGTTTTGATATCAAGAAAAAACTTATTTTGTATGACGAATGTACATTAATTTGCAGCCAATTAGATTAATTGAAATATTTTTCTTTCTTATGATTTTCCCGTAAATATAAAATTAACTGTATTTGATTCCCTCAAAAGAATTCTGCAACATTTCCATAATGTAAAAATCAGAATATTTGTTGACTATCAAGATTTCTAGGAATGTTAATTCAAATTTTTGATAACACCCTACACAATGTGTCTTTATGTGTGTCTCCGCTTTTGCGTGTGTGTAGTATGTTGGCTTAAAAATAAAGTAGAAGACTATTAAGAATATATATTTAAGATGAGAAAAGAGTCTGAACTTCATTCACACGTTAAAGTAAAACAAATAATCTTTATATAGGCTGTACAGGTAACTAACAAAAAAGAACATGGAGTAAAAAAACTGCAGATATCTTATTACCCACTAACAACAGATTTATAAGAACGGATTTTGACTCATTCAATTTTGGTAACTAATTTTTAATCATTTTCTACATGCCCCCTTCATTCAAAATCATATATGTCTAATTGTTGCCGAAAATAGTCACGTTTGAGTTGAGATAAAGACTTCGTAAATAAGTCTGCAACTTGATTATCTGTACCACATAATTCTAGTACTATTTCTCCACATAATGCGTGTTTCTATATGCTTCATTCTGTCATGGAAAGCTGGATTTTTTGTCATTGCAATCGTACCTTTGTTATCACAAAAAATGGTAGTTGTTGCTACTTGTTCTTGGCCCAAATCAACAAGAATTCTTCTAAGCCATACTGCTTGACAAGCTGATGATGTTGCAGCAATGTATTCAGCATCTGAAGATGATAATACAATAGTATCCTGCTTTTTTGAGCTCCAAGAGACAGCACCAAAACTTAGGCTAAAGCTGTAGCCTGATATACTTTTTCTATCATCCAAGGAACCTACTCAATCACTATCAATATAATTAAATAATTTGAAATATGATATTTTAGAGTACCAAATTCTAAAGTTAGTAGTTCTAGCAACATATCGCAGGATTCTTTTAGCTGCTCCAAGGTGATGTTTTATTGGATTATGCATAAATCTGAATAGAATACTAACAGAAAATACAATGTCGGGTCGACTGTGTGTCAAATAATTTAATATGCCTATCGACATTTGAAAATAGGTTGCATCAATCTTTCCTGTGTCATCTTTAGCTTGCAATTTTTCATTTGAATTCTTTAGAGTGGAAGTCTTGTTGCAGCTCACCATGTTGAACCTGTTGAATAGATTAATTGCATACTTTTGCTGCATAATAAAAATTCCATCTACTCCCTGTTTTGCCTCAAGCCCAAGAAATATTGCAACACGCCCAAATCTGTCATTTCAAATTTTTGCATCATAGAGGATTTAAAATTAGCAAGAAGACGTTCACTTGACCCGAAATAAATCATGTCATCAATATAGAGACAGATGACAAAAAAATCAGATTTTTCTTCTTTCTTTAAATATAAAGTGGGCTCATTATCACTTCTTTTCAACCCATTTTCACGAAAATAACCGTCTATCATACTATACCATGCTTGCGGAGCTTGCGTAAACCCATACAATGCTTTTTTTAACTTAAAGACTTCATTTTCATAGCCGGCTACAACAAAGCCTTCAGGTTGAGAAACATAAACTTCCTCTTTCAAGTCTCCATTTAAGAAAACAGATTTCACATCAAATTGAAAAACTGGAAGAGATAAATGAGCAGCTAAAGCAAACAATACTCTTATTAATTCGAAGCGAGCAATCGATGAGAATGTTTCTTCAAAATCAACGCCTTATTGCTGAGCATATCCGTTTGCTACAAGTTGAGCCTTATGCTTTTGTATACTTCCATCAGCTTGGTACTTAATTTTAAACACCCATTTAAGTCCGATAATATATTTTCCTTTAAGTAAATCAACCAATTGCCAGGTTTAATTTTTCTGGATTGCAGCAATCTTTTCATTCATAGCATTGGACCATTTTTGTATTTGTGCAGCTTCGTCGTAAAATTCTGGATATGAAAGACACAGAGCAAAAGAACCAGATGCATAAATTTTCCTCAAGTACCTGAATTTCCTTGGAAGAGTTTCACTTGATGAAGAGGAGTCAGAGTTGACTAGACTTGAGGAATTTGAGTTGACTGTGGGAGATGAACTTGTTGAATTTGAAGATGAAGAATCAGCAGCAATATCTTCTACAATTGACATTTGATCATGCTTTTGAGCACTTCTCCAATCCCATTCTGCTTCTTTGTTAAAGAATATATTTCTACTGATAATAATGTAGAGCCTATACGCTTTTGACTAACAGTTATAACCAACAAAAAATATATTTTGTAGTTTTCTCATCAAGTTTATAGCGAGTTTGAGAATTAATTAAAGCATAGGCTATACAATCAAAAAATTTTAAGTGACTTACATGTGGTTTCCTTCCATTCTATGCTTCATATGGTGTTTTGTTCATAACAACCCTTGTTGGAGAGATATTCAAAATATATACTGTTGGTGTAACTGCTTCAGCCCAAAAGGAATTTGAGAGACCTTTGGCTTTTAACAAACTTCTAACAATTTCCACCATAGTTTGATTCTTCCGTTCAACAACACCGTTTTGCTCCAGTGTATATGATGCAATAAGTTCTCTGCGAATGCCGCATTCTTCAGAAAAATATTAAATTCAGTAAAAATAAACTCATCTCTTCTATCAGTCCGAATGCACTTGATTTTCTACCAAGGTCTTAAATTTTATAAAAGTAAAAAGAGTTTCAGATGTAGATTGAAGAAAATAAACCCAATATTCATACTTCTGTAATCATCAATCAACAATAAAAAATACCAACTTCCATCAAATGATTCGGTATTTATGGGTCCACATAAATCCGCATGCACCAATTGAAGACAACTACCAGCTCTCCATGATTTTTCTACAGAAAAAGATTTTCTGCTTTGTTTTCCCAAAACACAGATGCCATAATGTAGACTCACTAATTTTTCTAACAACAAAAGCAGAATCATTAACTTGAGAACCTTCAAGTGAAAATATTTTATTTTGTGCCATGTGAACATTTACTATGACATGACCTGATTTCTTATCTTCAACACTAACGAATCATTATCAAACAAGATTCTATACCTATTATTCATCAATTGCCAAACACTTAACAAATTATAAACCAAACTAGGAACAAATTGCACATTAGTTAAAAATTTAATGTAACCATAGTTTGTCTTGATAATAATTGTACATTTACTTTCAACTTTAATCACCTTATCATCACCCAGTTGAACTGTTGATTTTTCTGCTTCATCAAATTCTCTAAATAATAATTTTAAATATGATATATGGTTTGAACATCCACTGTCCAAAAACCAAACAGCATCAACAATATTTTTATCAAAAAATTGAGCCATAAATAACATACTTTCTTCTTCTTCTGCAACACTAGCATGTTTTCATTCATCCATTTGTTTGGTCCAGCAATCAGCCTCTTTGTAACCAATTTTTTTCACAATAATAGCACTTAATATGACTATAGTTCTGCTTGAACTGTCTTTGTTCACCAGCTGGTCCTCTCCATCCTCAATTTCCAATACGATCTCTGCCGCGATAATCACCACGAGAACTACCTCTATTTGAGGCTTTGTAATCTGATTTACTATGAGAGAACTCCTTTCACTTGAAAAGCTTTTTCTTCATTTTTTAGTAGTTATCTATTCAATCTATCTTCATGAGGTTGCAAAGAACTCATTAAATCATCAAAAGAATAATCAGATAAATTTTTTGACTACTCTGTTGCAGCAACCATATTGATCAAATTTAGGAGTTAAACTCCTCAATAATTTTAAACTCACAATCTCATAAGTAATTCTTTCACCATATGCCCTCATTTGAGCGACAATTATAGAGGCTATCGACAAAAAAAGTTTGAACAAATTCAGATGTACTCATTTAAAGTATTTCAAAGGTTTTTTGAAGTGACTAAAGTTTGATAGTAATTACTTTTGATGACCTTGAAATTTTATTTTGAGAATTTGTCAAGCTTCCTTAGAAGTAATTGCTACCGACAGAAAATATCATCTGTAACTGCTTGTTGAAAAAAGAATAGAGCTCTTGCATCTTTTTTTTTTGTTTTCTCGAAGCCTTTGCTCATCATTTGGGTCATTGTACCCATTTTACACCAGCTCCTATACTTCTTGAGATACAAATAAAGTTCTTATTTTTATGCTCCAAAATTTGTAACTCTCACCATTGAACAGAGGAATTAAAGGTTTAAATGAGATTGTTGTAATATTTACTGCTGTTTTTTTTTTTTTGAGGTTTGCGTGAACCACTCTGGTGTATTAAGTTTTTTTTTTTGTTTTGCACTCTCTCAACAGCACAAAATAATGGCTCTGATAGCAAATATGTTTCCTTAAAAATAAATTAGAAAACTATTAAGAGTATTAATTTAAGATGAGAAAAGAGTCTGATATTCATTCACACGTTAAAATAAAACAAAAAAACCTTTATATAGGTTATACAGGTAACTAACAAAAGATAATATGGAGTAAAAAACTGTAGATATCCTATTACCCACTAACAACAAATTTATAAGAACTGACTTTAACTCATTCAATTTTGGTAACCGATTTTTAATCATTTTCTACATAGTATGCATGTGCTTCCACATTTCTGTTTGTGTTTATGTATATACGTGTATGTGTATGTGTATCTTTCTATCTGTCAATCTATATGTGTTTGTAATGATATGTTTATGTCATGTATATGCAAACATGGTCACATTCGTGTATGTTACATAAATAAGTTTATGCACATGTAAATTGGTATTATGCTGGTAGCATGCATGCATGTCTGCGCACACAGTTTAAATCATATGCATGTGTCTGAACATGTTATGTATGCTATGTGCATGACTAATTATTTATTTATTGTAAGGGATAAATTTTGAAAGATCACAAGATATAACATTCACATGCCTATAATAATATGACTCCATACAAATTTTCCGGGAATATTTTGAGAATGGCATAATCCAAGTATCCTCCTCTTATTAATTATTGAAAAGAGTCCCAAAGCTTGGATGAAACCAAGTGGCGGCCTTGTAACTGGTTGCAGGTTTTGTTTTTTCATGTCTTTTCTAAACTTTCCCTTTGAAATGCGATTGGAAGGAACTTAAACGTATCTCCATTCATATAACTGGATGAGCAAAATCTCAATTCATATAACTAGAAGTATAGAAAGGCTTGCATAGGTAAATATACAATAAAATGTCACATACCAGTTGTAGCTTATATAAGCAGGGAATGGTACGCTATAACATTCTTCAAAGGCATTCAGTGATATGTAATTGTAAGATACCATGCGCCTCACGAGTTCAATTATACAGCCACCATCTCTCCAAAACTGTTGACATTTATAAGCCACACAAAATATAGACAACCCATTGTCAGAAACATAATTTATTTCTGCAAGAAAAAACATATAATATCTAATTAGTAAGCGCACTGACCATTTGGAGAAATTATAAATTTCCAAAACCTCAATTATCACGTAGATTACAAGGACTCTAAACCCATATTGATCATTCATTATCAGATTGTCAGTTAGGGCAAACTAATACAGCAAACATGAGTATTGTTACCACCAAGATATAGCACTCAACTCAAGAAAGAATACAGATGAGGTCACTACTCACGTTTTTTTATCGACCCCCCCATTAGGTATGTTTTCAGGGTATGAGCTTCCAGTAAGCTAGCGAGCTAGCTTACTTCAAGTCTATTTAGAATCTCTCTATGCTATGCACTTTCTGGCTGACTTTTTGTGCACGCCAGACGTGCTCGCTAAAGAGTAGGAAATCCGTGCATAATATCTATATCTGAAGTTTTAAAGAGAGCGGAAGTCGTGCTTCACACCCGTGCAGCACTTCCTCCCCTTCAAGCTAGTTTCAGAGAAAAAACAAATTAGCCAAAATTAAAAGAAAAATCATGTGAAATAATGAATTTATCACATAAAACTGCTAAATAATGTTTCATGGTATAGCTGCTGAAGAGCGGGACAGATAGTCAAGCATTTGAAGCAGCTTACCAACAAAGGCTGTAAAGAAGTGGCATACATATATCAATGCAAAACCCTCAGTAGGTCCATTTATAACTGGTAGTGTTTGTGTATTTGTGAAATAGTTGGATCAACAAAAGTAAGTATTAGCTTTTAAATAAATTCTAAACACCATCATAATACAAACAAATAAATAAACAGAGACAATTAGAAAGTTTGCCAAAAGAAATAAGATCAGAAACAGGCGTTCTGTCTCTAATTTTCAATGAAAAGGCTAAAATATGAACAAAAAAAGTTCATCTGAAAAGAGGTCTCTGAAACATCACCAATCAGGATTATCTGTAGTTGCGTTATATACTTTCAGTTTATACAAATAAAACATCAAAGAAAACTAAGTTTAGGATCACTAACTGCTCCCATTATGCTCCTGAAAATGGAACAATAGAAAAACCCAGAGATGAAGATGAAGATGAAGAAGAAAGACTCCGCAGAGTACTCGTCTAATTGACGCTTGAGGTTAGTAGAGCGCACGTGTTGCTGGCTGGAATATATTTTACTTATTTAGCTGTTCTCTAAAAATAGGATTTTCTTTTCGATCTTTCTCGCCTATTTAGACCAACTAGTTTTTAGGTGCCTGTTGATTGATCGTTCATCCTTTCCTACGTGGAGTTAGGTTCAGAGTTCCAAGACTTTCTATAGACTGAATAAGATTTTGTATTAACCTAGATAGATAAAGCATGTATTTGATTATTTGAATCCCTGAATGAATTTTATTGTTGTCATGAATTCTGATTTTTGAGCTGGATAGAAAAGAAAGTCAAAACTCATAAACGTTCGATTTATTTAGTAGATAATTTATTACATCAGGGACTACTCAGAAACATTAACAGCAGCACCAACAACATTATTACTTCTTGTTTGCTTTCTCATTCTCGCGCTGCTGAGCAAAATAAGCCCCTGGATTCTTCTCGAAATCCTCCCTGACAATTCGAACTTCACCTCCAGCCCCCGGAGCAACCATTGTTGCAGGCGAGCTGCCAGTTCCAGGATTTGAGTTGTGGGCACCACCACCGCCCTTTTGGCCACCTCCTCCTTTGCTGTCCATCTTCAAGATATGCTGTTTTGCTTTCAGATATTTGAAAGGGCTAGAAAGAAGAATTGAAAATAGTCAAGTGATGATGATTTAGAGCGCTGTAGTTGGTTATTTATAGGTGGGATTCAAAGTAGGGTATAATGTAATATCTTCTCGTAAATGAGGTGAAGTCATGCATGGATTAAAACGGAGGTTATTGACTAATTAATTGTATACGGTGGTTTTCAAGACTAATTACTCAGAGTAACAACGAAGATAATATGAATAAATTTATCTTCTCGTGAATGTATTATCTTGTTTAACTTCACAATTAATGTAGCACCAGAAGGGAAGGCCATGAAAAGACAGAAGAAAGCAAAAGAGACGAGCGACATGATTGATCCAGTGTGCGCGAGTACAGGGGTTTCTTGTGGTACGTAACCCAAAGCACGCGGTTAAATTTTATGGGCTCAAAGTCTTCGAGTTTCAGCCCATAAAGATTTTATCTAATATTTTTCTTCCGTTAAAAATAGTTTCCATTAAAAAATTAAAATTAAAATTAAAAAACTAAAGAAAGTATAAACTGCTAAAAATATTCACAGACGGCTGGCGGTGGGAAGAGTCTCTTCCTCCATGAGTCTCCTTCACCTTCAAATCCATAACCAACCTCTTATTTACCAAACTACCTTTCTTCCTCCATCTTCCTCACTCTCCCCTCTCAACTTTCTCTCCCTTCAACCCTTCAAATCCGTTTCAATTTCTATCTCTACCCGACTTTTCCCACTCTCCGCCGTTTCTAAAGTCCAACCCTCAATTTCCACCAATGAAGACCAACAACAAAGTGAAGAAGACACCATGGAACTCGACTACTTGGCCCCCGACGGCGTCGTTTACCAGAAGACGCTCAGATTGGTCGAGTGCTCCATGTTCGCTGCTGTCACTGGCCTAGTCTACTTCTTGAGCAATTCTCTCGCAATCGAGGTTTTTTTTCATCCTTACCCCTTGATTTTTCTTTCTCGATTTTCGCTCAATTATATCGATTCTTTTCACTGCTTGTCTGTAATTATTTCTCTTCGTTGGTTCTATGTGTTGCAACTTTACTTGTATGCCTATTTTTATCACCACAAATCTTTTATTTTGTCCTACAGAATTACTTTGGATGTTTCTTTTCGTTTCCGATAGTAATATCCTCTATAAGATGGGGAATTGCAGCTGGGAGAAAAACCATGGTTAGTAACCCTCAATTACAGAACATAAGGGAATTTTAAGGTTTTTGAAGATTTTGCAGATCATTTCTTAATCCAAACTACGGAATTCAGTTTGAAAAGTATTAACAATTTGGATACATTTGGAACTGAATTTCGGAATTTGAACGGAAGTTTAAATCTCTTTTCTGCTCTTATTTTTTGCCTTAAATGTTTGATCCATTTTATACTCTTACTCATTATTCATTTCTACCCAGTATAGCGTAAAACATTGTTTTGGTCTTTCATTTTACAGGTAGCAACAGCTCTACTATTGTTCGTATTGTCTGGTCCTGTGAAAGCCTTAACTTATTTGGTGAGTTTCCATACTTGTCAAATAAAAAATAAACAAGGAAATTCTTTTACGCTTCTTGAGGGTTTCTTTGACACCTATAGCTTTAATTTATCTACCTACCTCTGTTGTTCTTCAGAAAAGGTCGACATCTTCAGCTTTTTATTCTAAACTCCGTCAAATTTACCCTGTTCTTGTGCTTATTCTTAATATGCAGTGGGTATTTTGCATGAAAAACAAGTGGCTTACTTATAATTCCAGTAGCTTTGCAGTTTGGATAATGATAGCAAGAGCATGTTGTTGTCGTGCTGCCAAATCCTATACAAATTAAATGTCTTTTCTATTCAATTTCATTTTTTATAGTTAGAACAATTGCACGAAGAAAGAGAAATTCACTCCAGAAAAATGTTGCAATGCATATTTTTCTTACTTTGCCCTTTCAAAACTTGCATGTTCTCTTTCTTTCTGGTTAATTTGGAATATGGGCTTCCTTGCTTGCAGCTTACACATGGTTTGGTTGGTTTCACAATGGGCTCTTTATGGAGGTACGGGAGTATGACGGTTTGTAGTTTTGATATCAAGAAAAAAGTTTATTTCATATAATGAGTATACGTTAATTTGGTATCCCTTGGTTGTTATTGGCAGACTCATGACTGATACTGTGAATTTATTAGTCACTTCAGCTTTTTCTGTTAAACAATAAAAGGAAATATCGCATCAGCATATACTTGTTACACAAAATAACCTTTCTAGATAATTTTATGGATTGTTGGCTGTTCGTAATTTATTGACAAATCAATTACCTTATTATTGGCCTCTGAATTCTTTGACTTCCCCAACAATCACAATACTGAATTTCTCCTTCATCCTAAAATTTTCCCCTACTTATGAACTCTTTTGAACTTTGCTAACATAAAGTTCTTCCATTTCTTCAGTATTTGAGAAACTTTGACTAGTTGGATCCTGTATTACTGATGTTATTCTAACGTATACAAGTGCTTAGAACTTTAGTTATTACCCCTTGGGTCATAATTCTCTTTTAGGTGGATTTGATTTATCGAATATAATTCTTCTCGCTTAAGATTTTCCCCTGAATATAAGATTACTGTATTTGATTCCCTCAAATTTGTTGTGCAACATTGCCATCATGTAACATCAGTGTTTGTTGACTATTAAGATTCCTAGGAATCTTAAATAAAATTTCTGATAATACCCTGTACAATGTGTCCACATGTGTTTATGCGTGTGTATGTAGTATGCATGTGCTACCACATATCTGTTTGTGTTTATGTATGTATATGTACGTGCATGCAGTACGTTTCTGCATGTTTATTTATATGTAGATATGTCTTTCTATCTATCAATATGTATGTTTGTGATAATATGTTTACTTACATGTATAGGCTAACATGGATATGTAGGTGTATATACTCATAAATAAATTTGTAAGTGCATGCACATGTAAATTGGTATTGTGTGTAACGGCTCCGGAAATTTAAATGGAATATATGTATTAAAAATGTCAATTGCGGAAGCGTAATAAAAATTTTGATTAACATCCCTTACACAATAATCAAAACGTACTCAAAACATGAAACAACAAACTAATTAAAAGAGATACTCGAGATAAGAACTATAAATATAGCTATGGAGTCTTTAGGCGTCCCCTTCGCCGTCTTCCTGCGGAACGGGTTCGGGAACAATGTCTTCCTGATCTAAAATGGTTAAATAAGGAATGAGTTACACCAGCCCAGTAAAGACATCACACTATCTCACCGCCACAGAAGTAAAGGTGGGTAGAAAACAAAAATGACCAATGGAGCATAATTTATAACGAACTCGTTTATTAACATAAAAACCTTTACTGTCCACTTATTTCGGCGAGATCCATGAAAATAACATATAAAAATAATAACCTTATAATATCATGAAATCATACACACTTTATAACATAACATATATCACACATTTACATTTCAATCATCAGGAAACAGATTTCCTCTTTTACCAGCCTACTAGTATCCCTGAGGATCCATAAAGGGTCTCCTCTACACGTGAACCATTAACATTTACAACCTGATTCTAGGGCCGTCCCCATACCCCGTCCGGTATGGGCGCCAAACCATGAACCTCAATACCCCGTCCGGTATGAGGGTGAAACGAGCCGTCCCCATACCCCGTCCTGTATGGGCGCCAAAACACATAAGGTCTCCATACCCCGTCCGGTATGAGAGACCACGTTCCCGGTAGGGTTCCCTACAGACCCGGTTCGTCCACCATCTCTCAGAATATCTAGTCAGGCTGTCCACAATATCCACATATCAATTCACATAACTTTTTTGCTTTTTTCCTTAATCTCAATCATCCAATCATACAAAACATGTAAACCAGTAATTGACACCAAATAAGACAATATAGTATCGGGTTCACCATAATACAAATCATAATAAAAGGAACCATAGTTCATGCATACGAGACCATAACATAATTACATCAAACATCATGCTGCATTTAATACTGGAAATTAAATCAAACAATAACAGACCAATACTGTATCAGACTCGGGCTCCATTGGCAACCTCAATCAATTATACATCTATAAAGTCACACAGTACAGTTTAATTATTTATTTAGCTTTAATATCATGATAGGAAATAGGGTGAGGGGTCCTTACTTGTTTCGGGGTCTGAAATCGACTGTACAGTGCGTCTACGGGCTGTCCCTAATTTCCCTGAATTTTTCCCAGAAAACTGAAAAGCACTACCGGTATCTGCACGTGACCCAAAAAAAATCCCAAATCAGACCTAGGGCCCCTTTCGGTCAATATTGGAATTCCGGCACGGCGGCTCCGCTGTGCTCCGGCAGCGATTTGCCTCGGGTTGGGCGTTTTCGGCCACACTTGCATTGGTCCCTGTGATAAAACAACCCTAGGGCTCTCGGTGGGCAAAAAAATCACGAAAAATCGAGACTTACCGGCGGCGGTGCTCTCGGGTGCGGCGGCTCCTCCAGCGTGAGTCGCGTTTTGATGTTTGGCTCCGATCAACCTGTAGAGAAAAGAACGGTGATCACAGTGGTATAAAATTTGCATCGAACGAAGGCCGGGAAGGGCCTCATCGGAGGTAAAAATCGAGGAGAGGCGCGGCGGCGCCGCTGGGCTTCGGCTGAGTTTTTCGGCTGTTTGGCCAGTGGTTTGGCTCCGGTTTGGCCATAGGCGGACTCAGCATCGAAAAACGAGTAAGGGGGAAAAAATTTACCTCAATCGGCGGTCGGAAACTTCCCTGGTGTGGCGGCGGGTGGCGGCGGCCGGCTCCTCCGGCATCTGGTTCTTCTTCTCCGGCGAGGCACTGACGGCTAGGGTTTTTGTGGTCAGGTGTGGGTGGGGTTATTTATACCCTTTGCCTTTTAATCTCAACCGTCCATCAAAATTAAATCTGGACCGTTCGATCGCGATTTAATTGGGATGCAATCTGGGCCGTCCGTGTGCGCGGGAACGGATCTGGGCCGTCCGATCTCGCGCACGCGGATCACCCACGTGGCACGTTCTCTAGTCAGCGTTGTCTTGCCACGCGGCGGGTCCTGGTTGGCCGAGGCTGCTGACCGGGCCGCTGACATGGCTGCTGAGGTGGGTGCTGACGTGGCACAATTTTTTTAAATTACGTTTTGACTCCCAGTTTTCATTTTTTTTTAGAAAACACCCCCAGAATTTAAAATTTCACCTATTTTTTCCAAAATCAATTTCAATTAAATCCAAATAATATTTTTACCCAATTTTATCATTATTATTATTTTTATTTTCATTAAATTAAATTAAATTAAATAAAAATCAAATAAATAAAATAATAAAATAAAATTTTATTTTACTTGGGTGTTACATTGTGACAGTAGCATTGCATGCATTTCATATCATATGCATATGTATTTGAATATGTTATGTTTATTATACATGTGAGTAATTATTTATTTATTGTAAGGGATAAATTTTGGAAGATTACAAGATACAACATTCACATGCCTGTGGTAGTATGACTCCATAACATTGTCCAATAATATTTTGAGTATGCCAATAATCTAAATAACCCTCGTCTTATTAGTTATCGAAAACAGTCCCAACTCTTTGATGAAATAAAGTGTCCTTGTAACTGATTGCTGGTTTTGTTTTTTCATGACTTCTCAGGTATGGAGTGAGTTGGAACCTTTCACTTTTCTTGTGCACAATTGTACTTCCTTTGCCTTGAATTTGTTTTTCTCTGTTTGAAGCATCTTTTTTCTGGATTTCTTTTGACTTCTTTAAGGTTTGAGAAGTGCAGGTTCGATCACTTGGTGCTATGGGCTATGTTTTGACATCATCTTTCCTAATAAGAGAAAACATACTTGCTTTGGTAATTTCTTGTCCTCTGTCCTAGGCTTTTGCTTGAACTAATATCAGGAATCAATCCTCCTTTAAATGTTTCAATATGCTTGTAGATCACTATAAACATTCACGCCTCTCTCTCGTATATCTTTGCTACGGTGGGCATTAATACAGTTCCATCCATGAGCTTCATATATACCATATTCGGGACTGTGGTATGTTTACCCTCCCCTACCTTCTTTCTCGTTTAGTCATCAATTTCATGCCAGTGTAACTTTCTGCATGTTCTGCTCTTAAACAGCTGTTGCTGAATAGCATCTTCTTTGTGTTCTTGCTGCACCTCTTGTATTCCGTGTTCCTTTCCAGACTTGGAATGAAATCTTCATTGAGAATGCCAGTTTGGCTGGAGAAGGCTCTATGATTCAGTCAGCTACAATCATCTCCATGTAACACTAGATTTTTCACGCAAGCCCAAAGTTTCAAAACCTGTCCTCCATTATATGCATTAAGGCATTTCCTTTATATGCTGTTAAACTTGCAGCAAAAGTGCCGCGAAGTGCCATTCATGAATGAAAAGTCGTAATTAGCTGTAAAGAACTCTTTTTGAGTTTTTATTACCTAACTAACATATGTTTGCACGTAAAATATATATGTACTTCTTGAAAATAAATTCAAGATTTAGAAAATGGTAACAAAAATATTACAGGTATTTCACGGGAATCAAACAGTTCAATATTTTGAAAAAATCAGAGGGAACTCAAGCCACAATTTATATCGATTTCAATCAAGATCCTCGTTTTACAATAAATGAAGGAACCAATTGAAATATGCCAAAAGTAATCATTGGAAGTTTAAGCACATCAATCCATTATTTCTTAAGCAAATGATTGCCAGACAATTTTAGTTTCATTCAAGATATACAGCTCAAATAGGAATCAGTCGAGCTTAGGATTTTCCTTCAAACGAAATTTTTTCTTATATTGCTGAAATACAGTAAAGAAAAAGCACCAACTACCGCGAGAAATCTTGGGTGATGCTTTTTATCTTGGGAGGCATAATCTCTTCTTCAATTTTCACTATCAAACTAAATGAACCAATTATAACCACTGACATTAAATGATAATATACTTTTTTTTTCAATAACAAAGGGTAATATTTATGTATATATATATATATATATTTTTCTAGACACAGTATAGTTTGATGTACCGTCTTCAGATCGGCAATTTCAGCATTTTCAGTTTAACTATTTCTTCGATAATTTAAGAATATTAGTTTGACCACACGAATGACCTAGATTTTGAAAATACTCAATGCAAACTCATATTATACTTCTCATTCATTATAAGAAAAACTAAAACACACAATTTTTTTAAAGCATAAATTTAAAGATGAAATAGAATTACAAATTATTTTTTTAAAAAAAAAAAAAGCTTTGAAAAAGTACGTTCTAAAACTAATAATTTTTCACATCATGCTTTTTAAATACAGACTGACTATATACATAAACTAACAGGGTTATATTATCTTACTAGTAGCAAAACCAGAGTATTGTAACTGTTAAAAGTTAAACCATATGGGACCAAACTATACTTCACTCTATATATATATTTTTTCATTACATTAATAGAAAAACCATCCCTCAAAGACATGGTAGCATTTTCCCCTAAAAAAATGCATGCATAATGTCAATATCCATTTGAAATTCCAGCCCCATGCTGTCATTTCCAAGATGGGAAAAATGCTGAATTTATCATCACCATCTGACCTCACAATCCTTGGCAATAAAAACAAATTGTTGGAATCATTGATTTTTAACAAGTCAGATCCATCTGTAATAAATCTCAATCACTGAGTTCAAAACAATCAAAATTTCAAGAGGGTTGAATTGCTCTGATATATTGGCCTGAGAGCAAGAGCACCGCATAACTCTTCTTGGCACCAAATCTATACTCTATAACAGTTTCAACACTAGAGCTCTTACAAATGTGATCTGACTTAGCAGTTGGTTGCTCTAACAGCCTACGTCCAGCACCCCATGAGCTGGTAAAAGCTCTATTGCCACTCTTAAGAATACATGCGCAAATCTCAACCCAAACTCCTAATAAAACCAGTAAGTCTCATCATCCCTCATCACATGCTTAATAACCAAGAAATCCACAGTTTGATAGTTTTCTTCTTTTTTTTCTCAATTAATGTCTGAAAACAGTCACCAACATATGACTGCCTATTCCACTACGAAACTGAATAAACTTACTATAATAGCGGATGAACTAGGTTGTTTTGAGTGGGCCACATACAAATCCATCATCAATGTTTCAATCAAAAAAGACATTCCCATGCCACCAGTCTTGCTTGATTTGATCCCGAGCAGCCAGCTGAAAAGAAAATCAAAATGGAGAAAGAAAATCTTTATAGAACTAAAATACCCATTTGACTTCATAAAAGTTGTGTAAGCATCAGGTAGTAAAATCCAGTATGCAGAAATTAAATAGTTCAACATAAATAAGGTAATGAAAAACAGAAATGACATACCTGAAAATAATGATAGAATTTTCAGGCTTCTTTCCTAGTTATTCTGTTATTTTAACAAGATTGTTAGTTAAAATCATCAACCTTCAGTTACAGCAGAAGCTTTTGCAAGTTTAACTTTATGCTTTAGTGCCATTTAGCATAGGGGGAACAATCAACCCATCCTATAATCACATTTCCTATGGTACTCTAAGTTACAGACCTCAAGGCACATGTATTTTCATAAAACCTGTGCTCTGATTCAATAGCAAAAGACTTGAGGCCATTGAAAAACTCATAGATAGAAGCTATTGATTGGCAGCAAACAGCCTCACCTGAAGCAATTAATTCCCAGCGCTGCTGTGATTTCATGTATGACAGACGTTGCGAAGTGTAAATACAATGAAACTGGTGTCCAGAGGAAGAGAATCATCAGCCAGTAAACATGAAATATAATATTTAAAAAAAATTATGCATCTCTAAGCTGAGACTGGGAAAACAAAAAGCGGTAGCAACTATACATAGTTGCATGAAATTTCTACGTTTTTCCTTCAAATGGAACTCAATGAGTTGTCTGGCCAAACATAGAAGCAGATAATTCTAATGAGGTTCAGGAATGTGCCTCACATAAGCCGATTCCCCAACATGAGCAAACATGCATGAAAATTACAAGGCAGAGGTTATGCACACCTGTGAATACACAGTAACCAAGAACCATCCAGAACTCATTAACCAAAGGCACCCTGCAACAAAAAGCAAACAAAACTAAATACAACACGAAAAAGACTTGACTGAAGGAGGGCTGACTGACATGATCATTTGATTATCTCAGCAAGTAAAATATGAGTAACATTTACCCCAAAAACAAAAAGTAAAGTTGAAGTACCACATACCCATCATTCAATTTGGCTGTGAGCACATTTGCAATGGCAAAGGGAAGATACAACAGTGACTGCAAAAATAGAATAAAAGCATTAGTTTTGGGGGGAACTTGAAAAGAAAAAGAACAGCTCTAAGCATTTAAAGAAACCATTTGCCATGATATGGACCATACAATCAATCTACGATGAGGGGAAAAAGGGCATGTCCAAATATTTAGGAGAAAAAAGAGCGAGTACTGTTTCAAATGAGATTCAACATACCATGCACATGTTAGTTTTCAATCCTTTTGGTTCATCACAGAGATGAGCCAAAATCATCCTCCCCTGCCAAAATAAACTTATAATAAGCAACAGTATGATAAGGAAATTGATTACTTGATTATATGTAAGTGATGCTTAGTACAAAGTATTAGACTAAGAACTGCAGCACTATCTACAACAACTGTGTAAGACGGGGAACAAATAAGGTAATACCTACTAAATATTACTAGAAGAAAATATGATTTATAGAAAAACGCACAACAAATTCAACTATATACAAATGTATGTTAACTAATAAAATAAGCACATCATTTGTCAGAAACATGAACCAACAACCCATCAGTGAAGCAAAACACTATTGCTTGACAAGACCAAAAGTCATTTTTCCATCTTTTATAAAATTGAAACTCAAAAAGTTAAGCTCAAATAAAAAGAAATCCAATCAAATAAAAATGATTGCTTACCACAAGAAACCCAAATGCAAGTCCAGTTCCCAATATAACTAAATGTGGGTAGTTCCTAATTAGATCTGATGGAGATAGGTAATCCCTGTGAAAAAAAGATTCATATAGGAGGCCTCCTTGCATATTGGGGGTTAGAAAAGAAAAATCTAATCACAGGGTTTCAATCATACCAAACTAGAACTCCTGCCAGAAGCACAGCAAAAGGATAAAGCTGATGAGAAGAGAATATCCATCAGTTGTCATACTGGGAAATAAGAATTATGTTTATAAACATCAGGAGGTCATGGAATTACCATAGCTAATGCCAGTAACATGCTTCCTTTTCTTGCCTGAACCACCTTATAGACATTGGACACACTGCCAAAAAAAGAAGAAGAAAATAAAGCACCTTACCACCACCAAAGCAATACAAATGAACTTATGTTCAAAGTAACTATTCGCAGAAAGAGGTTCCAGTACTTCCAACAGTCTATCATTGTTAGTCTAAAACTGATTGGACAAGTAAGAAATTTCATTATCTTTGGATATGAATTTGCCATACATGCCAAAATGAATTGAACTTCAACCATATAGCACATAGAAAACCACTTACTTGAATGTGACCGTAGGTGTAACACCCAATGCTATCATCAAATATAATACTGCCCTGTGGGTAGGTATTTCTGGAATCGATAAAAAAACAAAATGAAGTCAAATAAAATTGGACGGACAACTGGAACTTCCTGTTCGGATTAAGCAAATGTAAGGTCCAAATTAAAAACAACTAAAAAAAAGTTAAGAGAAATGCAAGTTTGAGTAATTCAACTATAGAGATACAATATCTCACACAATCAAACATCAAGAAGTTTAAGGTAATAAATCATCAGAGTACCAGGATAAACAAAGATGAAAAATTATGTTAAGCATTTGATGGTTTTGGGAAAATCTATGCTCATTGCTGCCAATTACAAGAGATCACATGGACTTCCTTTTACCATGTTTAGTAAAATGAATATGATGAAAAATTATACATCATAAAATGATGCATAGCCAGCTATATGCTTTCTTTAACAGTAAAATAAAACAATCTTACTTGTCATGAATTATAGCTATTAAGAATGAAGGATAGCAATAATCATATTAATGTTTAAGAACATAATTTTGTATAATCATGAAAGGGTAATCATTTTTTCTTCTTATTGTTGAGGATGCACCATCACTCTTTACCTGACTTGATGACTAAAGAATAGTGGTTTCCAATACGAGGTAAGATAGACAAATGTGCTAAAAGCCAAGCCAAAGTAGGAGGTAAATACATTTTCCTCAACCTCGACGAGATTACTGTAACTTTCCCTTTAACGTTTGAAATGCGATTGGGGGAACTTAAGCAATTCATATAACTAGAAGAAGCAAAATCTCAATTTGTGTAACTAGAAGAAGCAAAATATAGGGCACATTTAGTTTGAAGAACTGATACCTTATGAAATAGAGGATAGTAAAGATAAATATACAACAAAATGCCACATATCATATATAACCTATATAAGGAAGGGTGCACTATAAAATTCTTGGAAGGCATTCAATGGTACACATTTGTAAGATACCATGCGCCTCGTAATTTCAATTAGACAGTCACTATTTCCCCAAAAATGATGAGAGAAACACCCTTTATCAGTCACGCAAAACATAGACAACCAATTATCAGAAATATAATCAATTTCTACAAGTAGGAACATACATATCTCATTAGCAAGCCACTGACCATTAGGAGAAACCTCACAATTATCACACAAATTAACAGTACACTAAACCCATATTATTCATTCATTATCATATGGTAGGTATGTCAGGTCCAACTAATACAGCAACCATGAGTATTCTTACCGCTAAGAAATGGCACCCAACTCAAGAAGGACAAGGACTTTCCAAATTCCTGAGCCCACCATTCAGCACCTTAGAAAGAAAAACAGAGGGCATCAGTACTACCAAAGAAAATAACAAAAATTAACGAAAAATCAAGTGAAGATAATGAATCCATCACATAAAAATGCTAAACAATGTTTCACAGTAGAGCTGCTCAAGAGGGAGACAGATAATAAAGCATTGAAGCAGCTTACCAACAAAGCCTGTAAAGAAGTGGCATACATATATTAATGCAAGACCCTCCGTAGGTCCATTGATTACTGGTAGGATTAGTGTATTTGTGAAATAGCTGGATCAGTAGAAGTAAATATTAGCCTGCAAATAATCTCCAAACCAGCATAATAAAGAAAAATAAATAAACAAAGACAATTAGAAAGTTTCCAAAGAAAATAAGAACAGAAACAGGAGTCCCAATCTCCAATTTTAAATGAACAGGCAAAATATGACAAGGGAAAAATCATCCAGAAAGCACAAGACAACCCCTCCATTTAGGTCTTGGAAGTGGGGAAAGAAAAAGAGGAATCTGAAACATCGCCAACAAGATTACTTCTATTTGCACTAAACTGCTTTCAGTTTATAAAAATTAAAAAATAAAAGAATAGTAAAGTTTAGGATCACTCACTGCTCCCATGTTGCTCCATAAAATGGAACAGCAGAAATAACCCAGAACCAGAAAGTATCTCTTCCACACATGGCAGTGCTCCCAAAGGCCATACTCTCAAACTGCCATCATGTGAAAGAAAGTAAACCACACCAGCCATAAAATAAGATAATATAGAAGATTATTAACACATACCGCACATGCAAGTGCATCACATCCTGCAATAAAATGAGAAAACCAAATATATGCTTGTCAGTATTTAGCATAAATTACAAAGTCAATAATGAATGACAGTCATGATAAAAGATATCACCATGGTCAAAAAGCTCCCCCAATGGGCTAGAAGAATTTGTTCTTCGTGCTTGCTTCCCGTCAACAGCATCAAAAGTCTAGCATGTAGTAGTTAAGAGCTCAAACAGGGCCATACCATAATACAAAATTAAGCAGAAACAGAAGCATAGAAATTAAACCAATTGAACAGCCAGATTAAAACAGATTGAAACCTGATATAAAAATAGAAGTAATCCATGCGCGAAATGAACCCACCTTGGGGGTGGCGAATCCAAATGAGGTGAATATATCTGAAACAGAAATGAACCAGAATCAGGTGAGTTGGTCTAAAGAACATATATAAATCACCACAAATGAATAGAATTCCGTTTTCAACTCTATTGCATAACCTAATACTGAATTCACATGTCCGTTTGTAGGCATTAGTCGATGAAATTATCTATCAGATTAAAATTGAAGAACTCATAATTAACAAACAATACCAAACACTCTCTTATCTTTTTCTTTTGTCATTTATTTTTACACTCATTCTCCACAAACACCAACATCAACTATCAAGAAATTTCCACTCACATAGCCAAGCAAAGCAGATGTAACCAAGAACATAAATCCCGTAAGTGTTATCTGGAAAACCAAAAGACATGAGAAGCAGTCAAGAAGAATAAATAGAAATGTTGCAAATTAAATTCAAAAGAAAGAATTGCCATACCATGTTTGGTCTGCAGAAGATTAAGCAGCAAATGCAAACAAGAAACACAGAATAATATCAGTAAATGTCAGAGGGAACTTCATGCAGTGAGAAACACACGAAAAACCAACCTACCAATGCTTACATGAACAAACCTTAACAAATAATCTCTACTCCAATCGTCAAGTTTGCTATTTTCAGATTCTAACATTTACATTCTAGCTCTCATGTCCAGTTAACAACATTTGGGGGGTCATCTATCCCACTTTTGATCATTTTCAGCAAACTGATGTTATAAACTCGGTAATGATTATTAGCTTAAATGGAATATCTGTGATTATATGGAATTAGAAACCATAAGCTAAGTGCCGATCAAAGTTACAGACCATCTGACAAGTGGATCAGTAATCAACTTTAACTTTTTAACATGATAGACTTTAGAGACCAAACCAATAGATTACTTACGGCATCCAAAGCGGGAAGAAATTGACACAGCGACTCCAAAAGGGTTGCAGCACGTATTTGGCCAGGTAAGAGTAATCCACGCCACTATACTTGTATCTATGCAGAGCTGCTACACCACGAGCGCCTATGTAACCCATTTTTTTTGCTGATCAAATCAAGTTCTTGCCACCAAATCCTTATGAAGGATAAGTAAAACCTGCTATAATTTAATAGCTATTATGTTATTCCACTGGTTGAAGCATCTCGCTAATGTCAGTATTTTCAACAAAAAAAGAAAATAAACATGAATCACTGACCGAAATCAATGCTTTAAGTTAGCAGAGATGACATGAAACAATAGATTTACTTTTTTTATCAAACGAATAGATTCCGAAGACTTAGGTAGGATATACACTTTTCTATCACTACCAAGAAAAGTATTTTGAAAAAAAGGAGAGACAACCTAATATAAAGTGATATAAAAAGAAAGGGTTACTATCAAACCAGAAAGAATGGACCTGGAAGTCAAAATACATCAATAAATCAGCCATGAAACTGGAAGCCAAGCAGAACTGACTACTAAATCAAGACTAGAAAAACAGAGAGAACGAGAATCTATTTGTTTATTTTCTTGTAATCTATTTTTCCTGATAAAAGATCTTAGATAAAATAAAATTTTGCTCTGATAGTAAGAGTACTCGAAGTAAAAATTATATAAAGGCTCTTTGAGTTGGCTTTTGAGTTAGTGCTCGCTTTTGTACAACTTTTTTAGTTATTTCTAGTACTAAAAAGTAAACAAATAATCATGGTATTCAAAGTACAAAACAAAATTCTCCTAGAAACTTAAAATAATATATAGGACGGAATAATATGCCTTGCATTTATCATAAGTTGACTTTTTTGCTTCTTTTGGTTCCTTGGGTGTCCATCCAGTACCATTGTTCATCAACAATAAGAAGATATGCGCAATATGTTTCTTTCTCTATTTATTTCCTTGTATTATAGAGGAAGCCTCGGCTTTCTCACTAGTTTTACAAAATGTACGAGTGATTCAAGAAACATAATGTTCAATTCACTTGACTTTGATCATTAAATTTCGTTTGCTAATAACATAAAGAAATTGAATTTTCTTTTATTCACTAACAAGCCCCGTTCTAGTTTTCATCTTCACAGCAAAATATTCAATTCAATGAAATATACTAATTCAATCAAATGTAACTAATAAAATGAAAATTAAAACAAATACCTAGACACATGTTTTAACCGGAATACATCAATCACCCCTCAAATGAAGCTGCCCAGTGGCAGCTCCTATAATTCGGGTGGACCTGCCGCTGGGTAGCTCCTCTCGAAATGAAGCTTCCCAGCGGCAACTTCTCTTAAATGGATGGAGGTGCCGCTGCGCAACCCATCAAATGGATCGACCCAGAAGAGCTCTCTAAAATGGGTCTCCCGCTGGGAAGCTACTTCCATGGAGACCGATCCATTCATGAATCGACCTCCGTCAATGAGAGATTTATGTTTTTTGCAACAAAAATTAAAAAGAAAAGAGGTAAATAAGGGATCAGTTACCTATTCCGGTGAGACAGGAAAGGGAAGATGGAGAGACGGAGCAGAAATTAGAAGACAAACGAAGACAACCATGGAGGGTGTTTGGCATTAGTTAATTTTAAACAAATGACGGATCTAAAAAATATTATTTTTTAAAAAAAATAATAATTAAAATGGGTGTTGGGAATCCAAATTTATTTAAAAATAAAATTCCAAGGCTTTTTCGTAAAACGTGCAAGGTAAAATTAAGGAGGCAGTAATAAAAAGTTTTACTGCTAGTAATCGAATAACGGAAAATAAATTAGTAAAATTTATTTAAACATATTAATTAATTATGTTACGTATATTAAATTGATATATGTGTGTGTGTGTGTGTGTGTGTGTACGTACGTATGTATAATTTTTAAGTTAATTATATACTAATTCATTTTCAAAACATTAATTATTAATTTAAAAAAAATTAAAACCTTAATCAAAATTTTCGATCAAATAATTAGTTGGTTTTAGGATTCGAGGCAGGCAAATTAGAAGATTGGTCTTTCAGTTTCTTAATCGGTTGAAGTGATTAATTGACGTAGATGTTTAATTTTAGACGATTATTTTAGATTAAGATATATATTAAAAGAAATAAGAATGGAATTTACCATGTCATAAGAATCTTGGACTACTAGTTGCAAAAAGCCCATATTTATTCACCGGTCAACCCAGACCGAGAAAGTCAAAATTTTAATAGACCAACATGTAGCTGGTTAATTTTCTCTTGGAAATTCAGTTTGGACAAAAACAAGTTTCCAATTGTTTTGTTCTTGTTGATTTGGGCTTTCAAGTTAGATATTTGAAATAAAGTATTTTACTAAAATTTAATATTATTATAAGTTTTTTCTGTAATATATTTAATTTAAATTATCCATCTTTTATAAACAAAACATAGAATAAACATTGATTAATTTTATTTATTAGATACGAAATAAATCGAATTTATAAAATAATATAAATATTTTTTTTCAAAAATATATATTTTTAACCATTCTATTTATTTTTAAAATTTATAATTTTTTAAAGTGTATAAAAGTACAAATCAAAAAATAATTTCTGCACTTTAAAGATTTATTTATTTCAAATATAGTACAAAACTTAAAATGAAACTCGAAAAATTTAGAGAGAAAAGAAAGATCGCGTTTAAACACAAACTGTAAAAACATCAAATAAACTCGCACTGTAAGTTGGATACTTGGTGGATTAGTTCAACCCATTTCCTGTGACTAAACTCATTCTTCGGTCACCAGATAGATAATCCATACACTTATGTATATAATTTATAATATGCCTTTCTATTTTGGGATTTAACGTTCCAAGACAAACACCCAGAGCCATCTCACTACGACTTCATTATTTCACATTTCATTTCACTACTAGCATATTTACTTCACCCAAATGAATATTATTAATACATAACCCATTTATATTTGATTCGTTTGAAACCCCTTGTAAATACACAGTTGAACATATACTTTTTTTATCAACACTAAATATAATGAGAGTATAGTCTTCTCTAAGGCACTACAACTTAACCTACGAAACACATACATATGCACACATATGTTTGGCATATATATATATATATATATATGCACACGAAGAGTGAGAGAGAGAGAGAGAGAGAGAGAGTGGTATGCAACAAAGTGCAAGTAAAGCCATAAAAAGCAAACCCATAAGAGATGGGCGTTATACATGATCTCTGTTACATGTCTTTGTGTTTTTTTTTTTTTTTTTTTTTGGCTCCAAATAATTGATCACAGCTAAGGTTGAGGTGTTAGAAAGATAAAGAGAATTAAAGAATCTTATCAAACACCCAAAAAAATAATAATAAATAATAAGAAAATTAATTTAATTAATTAAAAAAAGAAGAAGAAAAAATTGGAAAAGAAAATTAGCCACAACAGAAGATGAGATCTCAATAATAATAATAGACTTGATTGGTCTGAGCAGCCTCCATTGTCTCCCCCTTTGTTATTTAATTGTTTGCCGCCACCAGCAGCAGCCGCAGCCTTAATTAACCCACCACCTTCTTTATCCCTACTCCACAGCCAAACAAACTGTCTCTGTAATATCAGTTTATTTATTTAAGAAACTAATAATTAAATTTTAAAAAAAAAAAAAAAAAAAAAGGGACATATTCTTTCCATGTGGGCATTTTATGTCAAGTAAGCCACATGGTCTCCCGAGATGACTGACAACTGGAAGTGGGCCAAACACTATCAGACAACCACGTGCCACGATGATTCTTCCCTCTCTCACTCTTTTTCTTTTTAGACAGTTAAAACTAGGTTTTAAACTATCATGTGATGCATTCACACCCAAGCAATCATGTACCTGCATTCGGATGAGGACCGATTGATGCAGGTTTTGACATGATGGTGGGCACGGCGGCCATGGGTCCCGCTGGTGATGAAGGGAAACTATGGACAGGTAACCCCATTGTCTGTGATTGATGGACGTGATACAGCGGGTACATCGGCATCAATGTATTCGCACCTACCATAGCTTGTCCCGGGTACACCTGAGAGAAATGCCCGTTTACGTAGGACCCACCAGTGTAGCTTAGTTTCTGTACACCACACAACACACGATATAATAATAACATTATTATTATTTCTAAACTTTTTTTCTCTAAATTGCTTAAAGGGAAAATTATAATTTTCCAAATATTTTATTTTACTCTTTATTTTTTTATTCAGTAAAAAAATTTCCAAAAAAATAAAATTAAGCTTTAGTTTCTTTCATCCTCAGACATTGGAAATGTGGCTGATGGGGGGCCAAAAAGGAATGAATGGCGCAGCGGCGAGTTTTTGGACCACTGACAACAAAACTTCAAATCCTATTCAATACATTTGGTCGATTAATTGAATCCTAGCCGTCTGATTTTTGATTCATTCAGTTAACGAACAAACCAACAGAAATCAGTGGTCCAGATTTGGGACCACTACTACATTCACACAAACATTATTGGGCCCCGATCTACTTAGACAATCAACTAATTAAAGTACTAATCAAAGTTCCAAAAAAAAAATTATAACAATTTAATTAATTAAAATTTTATAAAATTTATATTGAATTTCAATGCTTTGATTAATTTAATTAAATAAACTTACATGGTTGTAACTGATATCAGTCGCAATGTAAGTGGGAGAATACCTGAAACAGAGAAAGAGAACGCCTTGTGTAAGATACGGTACACCTTAAAACTGTGCACCTGAGGAAATAATCAACGGTCAAAATTGGCGTACCCATAAAAAGGAACGGGCTGATGATGCTGGTGGTGAAATGGCGTCGCCGGTGTCCCCGCCGGGTAATACCACTGAACGTGATTAGCTGCCGGTACTGACGTGGCCCTCGGTCCAACGTTGGATCCTTCAAGCAAAATCAAAGTTGTAAAACGTAGAAAAAGCCCTCATGATGCTGATAATTACGAAAACGCCATCAACGACATTTTTCTTTTTAAACTTTTATATACCTTGTTGAGGAGGAGTGGTGATCGAGGCGGACCTCGGGCGGCGGGCGCCCAGCGAAGCCAGATTACAGTTGGCTCGGCGACCGTTAATGATCGGTGCGGCGTCCTCGCAAGCCTTCTTGGCCGCTTCGGCATCTTTAAATGTAACCTTTTATTTTACAGAACAACAAAACCTTATCATGTTTTTCTCTGTGTGTGATATATATATATATATATAGAGAGAGAGAGAGAGAGAGAGAGAGAGAGAGAAAGAGATTTGACATAAATCTGGGTGTGTGTATATATGATCGAAAAGAGACATACGAAGCCGTAGCCCTTGGATCGACCGGTGAGCTTATCGGAAATGATGACGGCTTCGAGGATCTCGCCGAACTTCTCGAAGTGCTCTCTCATGGCTTCCTTGGGAGTTTCCCAAGCCAACCCGCCAACAAACACTTTCGTGAGCGTCGTGTCACCGAACTGACCCACGTGATTGCTCATCGTCATTTCACCCTTCCTGATGAACACTGTAAATCCAATCTCCTATACAAAGAAGCCAATATAATGTGTATATATATATATATAATTGTTTATGCGGTTCCGATAAACTCAACAAAAAACCCAGAAAAGGAAAGCTTATATATACGTGTATGATAGTGTAGAGATAGTGATGAGGAGTGGGTTTTGATGGGGGAGATTGAAAGTGAAGGGTGTTTCAATGGAGTTATACTGGAGGAGGGGTGATCGAGAATGGAGAGACTGAAGACTGGGAGAGAAGAGAGAGAGGATGGAAGAGGGAAGGGTGATATAAGGGGAGAGGAAGGAATCAAGAAATGGAAGAAAAGACAGAGACAGAGAGGCAGACAGATAGATTGGACTTTTGGTTTTAGGCCCAAGTTATCAACGTGATCACACGCCTCTCTCTCACATTATATATGCGTAACCCTATATATGTGTACGTATATATGTATATATGCGTGTAGTCAATGAATTTCATAATGTGTAATTGATTTTTATGACATTTTTTGCTATAAGTCTGAATAAAGGTTAGATTTTATTATTATAAAAAATTAATCCATTAATAAAGCTTTCGAGATCTGAAAATTGGATGGTATACAAATTTTATAAATATAAATAATTATTTATTGTTGTATATTAAATAACTTATTTTTCAAATCTTATTAACTGTAATATCAACTTGTATATATATTTTTTTGTGAAAAATCAGTGTTAATTGGTCCTATTTTATATTATATTAAAATCTATTGAACTAAAATTGTGAATCTTGCGTTAAGGTTTTAATTTTTATAAATATTAATTGGGTAATTAATTATTTCAAAATTTAATATACAATGAACAAATAAATTTTAATTATATTAATTTATACCGTAAAGTTGTTTGGTCTAATTATGTAATCCGTCTATTTTCCTTCTTTGAGAAGATACGGTCCATATATAGCGTTATAATTTAAGGTATGGTGGTTTTCAATAAAACTATATCAATTTGAATTTATTAATTATATCAACAAATAAACTGCATATATATATATTGTTATTTATTCATATATAGCTGCCCATTATTTATCCTTTTTTTATTTATGTTATCATTTATTTAATTTACTATCACAAATAAACATACTAAATTTTTTCATGTACAAAATATGCATTTATAATTTATTCATACACACACACACACACATATGTATCACGTATATAGCAAATATAAAATTTAGATTATGATGACTTCTTACGGTACATCATTTTAATAAATCATCATATTGTCACCATAATATCTATATTATCTATCATCATTTTTAATTGATTATTTTTTTTTGTATATATTATCCTATTAAAACACAATTATATTCATTTATCGTCACATTGTCATGATCACAATATATATTGATATTATTTACTATCAATTTTATTTATTAAATACAATGGATTTTCGTTTTTTGTTAAAAAAATTAATTATTAAAATAAGATTCACAAATTTTTAAATTAATTACTAGATAATTTAGAGGGTATTTCTTATTACTGAAATAAATATACTTAAATAGTAAATTTAAAGGATGTTTTAAGTTAATTAAAGCATCCATGTTATTTATCACACGATGTTTATATAAATACTAATAATTTTAATTAAGAGAAAATTAAAGACATAATTAAATAAAATTATGTCTTTAATCCAAATTCAACACGCGGGCAAAGAGTCTCAGCAATTATGTGCTCTATTACACGTTAAAATTTCTTTTTTATTGAAATCAGAGGAGCGTGATGACACGGAGGTGAGAAGCGCGTCGGGTTGGGTGGAAAATTAGAAGAGTCGAAGCATGGAAGCACGTTAACGCCGGAAGGAAGGGACAGCTTAAAAGGCGTTACGTTAAAATGAAGAGAGTGGGGCCCGCAAACGGTAACAGAAATTTAAACGCAAACTACGTGCAATCCTATGAAAAAATTTGTTTTTGTCCCAATCGTCGTTCCAATACGACAACTGGCCCCACCCCGTGTTGCATTTATGCTCTTCTCCTCTAATTTATTTATTTTTTACCCAATAATCGAATATTCATCTCTCCCAAAATAAAAATAAAAAAGATAAAACTTTACAGTTCTTATTAAATTTAATTTTTATAATATTTAAATATTTTTATTAATTACATTTCAAAATTTTCAAAAAATTAAAATAAATTGATATGTGTATATATATATATATAAGTCAATGAAATAATACGGGAAGGTCAAAGCCAAAGGTTAGAGTGAAGAGTGTAGTAGACAGCTGTACTTCTCCAACTTCCTCATTATTCAGATGCTAAGATCACGTGGGTCCCAAATTTTGATGTACTCAGGTGTGCATCGTCATCATCATCATCGCCCATGCACATACACCCCCAGAAACTCTTAGCTGTCTCTCTAACAAATTAATTGCATTAATAATTATAATCCCGTTCCGTAATTAATTATTACTAATTTTCTGACAAATTTGTTTGTTAAAATATATTAAGAAAAAATAATATTTTACTGAATATAAACAATGTACTTATATAATTCATATAATTAATTATCTATAAATGTGATATACAAAATTAAATATTTTGGTTAGGAACTGTTATAATTTTAAATGATAATCTTATGCTACCTTTATATTTTTATTTTTATTTTTTGAAAAATAAACTTTATGGTTAAAACTTAGTTATTTTATTTTGATATTTTTTGTATTCATTTTAAATTCAAATATTTGTTAACAAAAAAATTAATATGAGGAATCCACTGATTATTTTTCTTTAATCCTGCTCCAGTCATTAATCTTAGTTTAATTCGGTCAAATTTACATTAAATTAATATCCCTTGTATAATCATATTATTTAATATTATTTTAAGTCTATTTATAATTTATTCAAACAAATTATTATCATATTTTTTATTAATAACTTACCGTAAATTTGGACATTTTTCACTTGAATCAATTTAAGAAAATACTAAATGGACAGTAAAAGATTTATATTATTAATTTTCAATTAATTAATTAATTGAAGAGTTGGGATTAATCAACTAATTAAGAGAATCTAAGAAACTAAATATATGAATGTATTGAAAGGTGGCGTTTGGCTTCCAAGAAAATCATGGCATAAATCATGGAGACCTAAATTACCGGCCGAATTAGTTCCTTCAAGAAGATGGTCAAACCGCGTTGCTTTTTTTTTTTTTTTCTTCTCCTTTATCGAAAATAATTTTTCTTTTTTCCAAAAAGAAATGTAAACTTATTTCAAATAATTTTAAATTTTAATAATTTAATATGAGTTAAAGAGGTCAAGATATAAAAAACTATTTGTGAAATCCTGAAAGTTTTTTAAAGAGTAAACCGAGAGTTCCTCAAAAAAATTTTCAATCTATAAAAAATTACAAGTTCAGGTCAAATTGTATTATAATAAGTATTATTGTTTGAAAATTATTTGTGTTGTATTTGGTTAGTATATTTATACTAATTAACTGATGAATATATACATTTTTTATTTACAAAAGATCTTACTCCAAGTTCATCTGACTCGAAAATTCTTATTTTTTTATTAGCCTTACAAATTAGAATGTAACACTCCGAGTCCACGATGACTAAATTTATTTAATAATAATTTTAAAAAAATTTAATTTTAATTTTTTTAAAATTTTTAAAGAAATATATATTTTGGATGTATTTAAAAATTATGGTCAAATTGTAAATAAGAGAAGAGTATATTTGAAAAAAAAAAAAATCAAAAAAGAGGGATCAAATCATAAAAAAGAAAAATGCGGCCACATGACGAACATGCTAGCATGGTTCCACGCAGGAAGCCATGAGGACGATATGCGTGCTAGGCCGATCGAATGGCTCAGGGCCTCACTTGCGCGCGTGAACAATCAAGATTGATTCCCTGAATAGGCTCGATTGAACAACTTGCATGCTTATAATCGGACGATCCATATCAATTTTCTCATTAGGCACGATCGAAAGGTTCTCGCCGCTCTTCGTGTTCCATACGGACGACTCAGATCGAAACCAATGAGGTATTTAAACCCCACTGCCCGGCTCCCTAAAACCT